AGTTTTAACCCTGATTAAAGCAACTCTGTATCCTCTTTAACACAGAGAGTTTACATCTTGTCTAAAGTTAGAAAGAGTTATTATAGTTTGTCTTTTTAATCCCTCTTTTAAAAAATGATTTTGCTTTTTGTTGAGATTGGTCTGTCTCCCAAGGAAATAAAGAAACTCTAGTCACAGGCTTTTGAGCTATGTGGCCAGGAAGTTAAATTATAAGAATGATTTCTTTCCTTTTTACCTTTTAATTGCTGATGCCCTATATCTCTCTCATACAGGGGTTATGGAGAGGAAGCCATGTGAGGCACCCCTTAAAAAACAAGTGGTGGCAGCAGCACCTACCAAACAGGTGCCCCAAAGTGAGAGGCAGGTCCATATGTAGACTCAAGGCTTCTGGAAGAGGAGGCTCAAGACCTTCAGCCTTCCACTGAGTTCATCTGTTTTTTTGGGTGCCATCAAGTCAGTGTTGGCTCCCGGCAACTGCCTGGACTAGTCCCTGGAGTTTTCTTGGCAAGGTTTTTCAGAAGTGGTTTGCCATTGCCTCCTTTCTAGGGCTGAGAGAGAGCGACTGGACCAAGGTCACCCAGCTGGCTTCGTGTCTAAGGTGGGACTAGAACTCATTATCTCCCGGTTTCTAGCCTGATGCCTTAACCACTACACCAAACTGGCTCTCTGGTTTACATTACAATAAAAAAGAAAAGAGCTACTTAACAGCTATTGGCTCTCCCTGGTAGAAAAGGAGAGCGGGAGTATTCCTTTTGCATGTAACCCACTGCTACGCTTCACTCAGAGTGAATGTGGACTGTCTTAATTTGCAGCTTGCAGTCTGAGTGGTGGCATGGGTTTGGGACAGAGTATGTGTCAGAGCTTGACAACTGCCCTTCACAGCTATTAGCATTCTGCAGTCTTCATGAGCACCTGGTATACTTATTTTCTCTTTTCATTTGGAATATATCTGAAGAAGTACTTTCTGTTGTTCTAGGAATCATTTCCAGTTTCAGCTTATTCTGAGCTGTAGCTTTCCTGATATCTTTACAGTTCTGGGCTGCCTTTCTATTTTTCCATTGTGATCTCTCCTCCTATATGTGTCCTTTTTTGTCTTTAGACATTCAGTAACCATTTGTGTAGTCACACTGGCTGCTTTTGTCCATTTTTTTCCCTTTCACTGGAATTGTTTGCTATTATGCTTTAGTATCTCCTTTTTTAGGAATTCGCCCTCACTGTGAATTCCTTTCTCCAATCACTGCTTCTACCATGGAATCCTCCTTCCATTGCTCTGATATTTTTATAATCCTCCTTCTTGAATTTGAAGACTTTATTGGGCTTGCCTTGGTTACAGTTAAGGACTATAGGATTATATGAGAAGGACCATGTGGCAAATTTTGTCTATCCTAAATTGGCAATTAAAGTAATTAAAGTCTTCCATCACAGCTATTCAATACTTCTTTGAAAAATCTATAGTTTGCTTTTGGATCATCCCCCCAAAAATAATCTTATTCTTGATTGGGTAGGCTGTACTTTTATTAATTAACTTTAATTAACTAACTTTAAGCTAGATGCTCTCTGAGGTATTGCCAAGTTTATTCATTTGGATTTCTGAGCAAGTGGATATTGTCAACACAGAGTGCAACTCTTCATCCTCCCTTTTTGTTACAGTTTATCTTCTTTGATTGTTATATTCCAATAATCTGAATCATCTTGCCAAGATCTGTTATGCCTGTTAAATCATATTTACTTTCTTGTTCTAAGAGTTGAAGATCATCTCGTTTTCCATAATCTGGGTATTACTAATGAGCTAATGTTATTTCTGAAATAATATCCAGTGGTGGTAAGTCCCATTATTGGATTATCTGAGATGTTTCTTTAGGGTTTTTATATCTACCTCTTGCAATATTAGTTTAATCCTTTTCTAACCAAATTTGTCATGCTTTGGTAAAACGCTTTTACTAGTCCATGAGAGATGCAACCTATCCCATGCCTGTAATCCATCATTCACTAAATGCACGTCATGGTCCCAGAAATCAAATCCTGTCAACGCCATTTGTATAGCCAGTCATTTGCTTACAGTACAGTTTTCCTTTTTCCCTTTCTGGTCTTCTTCCATGGCTGGAAGATTGAAAGAGAAGGCCATCTGAGCCCTCAGGTTCTTGAGCTTTCTTCTCAGAGCTTCAAAGTTCACAATGATATGGTGTAACTGTTCTTTGCAGTATTGCTTGTTCCCACATGGTTTAGCAGAAAGTTGTGATTATTAATGAACGTGATCAAGATTGGAAATTCTCACATCACAGCTGATGTTCACAGGCTGATGGGCTCATTCAGCAGATCTTTTCACTCTGTAAGTCATCAGTTCTAATGACTCTGTCTTTTTGCAGGACACAACATTCCCTTTGTCTTCACTGCCTTGTCTCCTGTTCTGCAGTTCTGCATTCCTCTG